CTGGGAGGCGGAGCGATTGCTGCCTAGAGACCCCGGAGTCCCCTTTGGCAGCAAGGCAACCCAGCACACTTTGTCTGCATCTTGGCCGAAACATGCACTCCAGGATGAATGCGCCCCGTCAAGAACCTCGTTAGTGCTGGGCGTGTGCGTGAGCTGGGGAAGCCGGCCGCGCCCTGCCAGGGTGGTCTTGGTGGAACTCCAGCTCCTGCTCCCACTACCCGGAAGGCATGTGCGGAAGCACAAGAAGCGTTTTCATCTAGTGTCTGGATAACGATGGCTTATCCCAGAGAAGCCGTACTCCGTGTGGGGTAAGCCAGGGCAAGCAGATGTTAAAAGGGAGTCTACAAAAAGGAATTTAAAAAGGATTCAAAACATTGTAAAATGCAGAGCAGAGATTAAATGTTTGAGTGAATGAAGGTCTGTGTTCCCGGGCGGCTTACTTTACTGGGTCCCACGCAGCCGTGCACACGCGCACCTTTCGTACCAGTCTCCTGAGCCTACTCCCGAGGGGCAGGTGCGCTGGTAACCTGCGGGTGGCTGCTTGGAGGAGGCTGCAGGCTTCTGCGCCTTCCTGGTTCCTCTGCTGCCGCCCCCTGCTGCTTCACAGGCTCCTGTCCCCTGGACACTAGAGTGAGACTCAGGAAGGATTCTCAGTGTGCAGGTTGGTTTGGGGCGTCAGAGCTCACCCTGTGCAGGTGAGCGCCCGAGCCTGCGGGAACAGGACCCTCTGCACCCCGCAGAGCTGCTCGGCCAAGCCCAAGGCTGAGGGGCGGCCTGCTGAGCTGTCTGTAGAGGACCCTCTGCTCTGGCTGCTTCAGGGGGAGAAGGCCCAAGGGCTGCCAAGTCCACTCCCTCCCATTGCTTGGTCACACTCCCCTCCACATGAGCAGGAGGGCTGGCGGCTAGACTGTTAGGGTGAGTTCCAATCTGGGCTCTGGACCTCGGCACTCGCGAGCCCCGTCCTGGACCAGGGCCAGGCAAGTAGCCCAGCCTGTGGCTGCAGCCCAACCCGCAGGGTGAGGAGCGACTGCCACCGTGGGAGGTGAGCTGTGAGCGCCAGCTTCGCTTGCCACCTACGGAAAGGGGTCTCCCTACGAGA